GCAGGGTGTGCGGCCAGGCCCCAGGGCCCCAGGTGGGCGGGCGGGCGCCCTCTGCTCTCACCTCAGGCAGCCGGTGGCGTTGAAGAAGACCTCGGGGTCCACCAGCTCCCGGGACAGGTTGCTGTTGCCGTCGCCCCAGCCCGAGAAGGGGATGATGACGCGGTCAGCCAGCACGGGCAGGGCGTCCGAGATCAGCTCCTCCTTCAGCTCGTCCGTGGAGGACAGGTTCCACAGCAGCCCTGGGGGTGGGGACAGTGGCCCCGTCACATGCCAGCTCAGGGGGGCCCCCTCAGCCTGCTCTGGCCAACGAGCCTACTTGACTGTCCCGTGCAGCTGCACCTGGTCAATCAGATCTCCAGTCCCATCGTTTCCCGAGCTTTCTGTGTAGCTCAAAATTAACGCACAGGGACAGTGATCCAAAACCACGGATCAGCCCGGCCGGCGTGGCTCTGTGGTTGAGCGTCGACCTATGAACCGGGAGCTCAGGGTTCGATTCCCGGTCAGGGCACAGGCCCGAGTTGCTGACTCAGTCCACAGGAGAGGGCGTGCAGGAGGCAGCCGATCGATGACTCTCATCATTGATATTTCTCTCGCTGGCTCCCTCTCTCCCTTCCTCTCAGAAATCAATACAAATGTTTAAAACAACAACAACAACAAGAAAAACCACTGATGGGTGGTTTTCAATCGGAATTGTAACACTCAGAGTCTTCTACTGGTCTCTGTTTTCTACCCGAGAGTCATTCCAGGACCAGGAAGACGCATCCCTGTCCCACTGCCCTGGTCTCACATTCCCCGTCCAATCGAGGCTGCGTAGTGACCCTGTTTCTGGGCCTGGCCCTCCGTGTTCAGCACATATTTTTGGACACGGGGGAGATGAGATGCTGGAGACCTGTAGGCCCCTGCCCCTGTCGCCTAGAAACCCCCAGGTCTGCTGGAGGGGGGTCCCACGTGGACAGCGACCTTCCACCCGTTGCCCATGATCCTCCAAAGGCCTGGACCCCCGAGAGCCTGCACCATGCCCAGGGTCACCATCTGGCCCCCAGGAGCCCGGCCACAGCTGGCGCCTGGGGCACCCAGGACAGCAGCCTGCACCTGTGGGTGGCCCCGCCCCCCACCCCCGCGGCCGGGCTGCCCACCAGTCAGCTGTTTCTGGATCTCCGTGCTCCGGGTGGTCCTCAGGAGGCTGACGGCCTCGCGGATGCCGCCCTGCCGGCGGGTCTCCAGCTTGTTGGGGGCGCTCCGGAACACCAGGTTGCGCAGCGCCCCGGCCGCGGCCTGCTGCACGTTCTGGTTGGGGCTGCGGAGGAGGTCCACCAGCTTGCTGATGCCGCCCAGCTGATAGACCTGGGGGACAGGGAGGCGGCTCAGACCACTGGTCCTACCTTCCCTTCGGAGACCTGCACGCCAGCGCCCGTGTGCGCGCGGGGCGGCCCAATGGGAACGGGCCAGACCAGGAGCCAAGACGGGGGCTCAGCCCGGCCGGTGTGGCTCAGGGGTTGAGCGTCAACCTAGGAACCAGGAGGTCAGGGTTTGATTCCCGGTCAGGGCACAGTCCCCGGTTCTCTCTCGTCATTGGTGTTTCTATCTCTCTCTCCCTCTCTCCTTTCCTCTCTGAAATCAATAAAAATATATTAAAAAAAAAAAGACGGGGACTCAGAGCCTGACGCCCCCACCTCCTAGCAGACACACTCAGGGGAGCCCCCTCCTGCCTGAGCCCCATTTCCTCCCCTGGGGTTCCGTGGTGAAGACCAGATGGGAAAGGTCCACTCAACTGGAGGGCTTTGCTCTGTGCAGAAAGTCAAGTTGGCCAAGCTCTGACCTTGGGCAATGGCAAGCACACTGCTCGCCCTAGGCAGCTGGGCAGGGTGGGAGGGAGCCGACCGTGCCCCTCGCCCCCCATCTGTAAATGCAGGCTCAGGCGGATGCCAGCCAGGCCCTGCCCAGGCCAATGGTGGGGGGTGGGGGCAGGGGCGGGGGCCATGGTGTGCAGCCAGGTACCTGCTGCTTGGCCGACTCGTCCTGGAAGCAGGTATGCTGGATGTAGTAGGCCCCGATGGCCTGGTACTTCTCGTCCTGGGAGCACAGGTACTGCACGGCCTTGGGGATGGTCAGCCCGCTGCACTCAATGTCCTCACTGCAGATCCTGTGGGGAGGGGCCATGGGGAGGGTTACAGGGGCCCTGGGCAGGGGTTGGGACGTCATCTTTGCACACCCGACCTGGCACAGCTACACCTGCCCTGGAGAGAGCCAGGGCAACACCCAGCTGGGGACCAGGCCCACCTGGGGACCAGGCCCACCTGGGGACACCTCTGTGCAACAGCTCCTCCAGGGGAGGGAAAAGGCTCACCCTGGGGGAGGCTCTGTGAGCATCCCTGAGGGGCCAGGGGATGTCCACCATCCTCACCCTCCCTGGCCCCTTCCCTTCCCAGCGCAGACCACGCCCCACCAAAGCCCCGCCCACCACCCAGACACCACTGTCACCAGCTCAGACCACGCCCCTCCCAGCCAGGACCCGCCCC